GAAATATCAGTATCATTCATCTCAGCGAACATCTGGCCGTCGTCATACGGCTCGTCTACGTTGCAGAGGCTGCACGCAATCGAATCGTACTGTTGTACTTTCAAGGCTCCCTCAGGGACTTGAAATACAGAAGGCTGGGCATGTTGGATTGCGAAGTATACAGAATGGACGCCGCCTGGGCCTGTCGAGCACCACGACGGCTTCAACCCCTTGGCGGCGCAGCATTCGCCGCCCATCTCTTCGTCGAAATCGAAGCCATCCGATTCATCGCCACCTCGGCTGCCTACATCGACGCACTGAGGGTTGACGACGTCAATGAGCTTCAAGAACGGCGGGACCGTGAAAGGATTGTCCATGGTGATAGCAAAAATACAATGCGTGGACGCCGAATCCCTGTGATTGAACAAGTCCCTGAGCTCACGTAAGGCGTACGTCGAGAACACTTCGACATACCTCGGCGAATGGCCGATGTCCTTGCCAGCGGCGGGAGCACCTGCACTGGGACCTGCACCGCCCCCAGGGGCATCGCCCCCACTGCTTCCACCGCCTCCGCTGCCTCCAACGCTTCCACTACTGCTGCCACTGCCTCCACTACCACCAGCGGCAGGGGCATCGCCTGAGCCGCCACCGCCTGAGCCGCCACCTCCTGCGCCACCTCCGCCGCCAGGTGGACCTTCGCCGCCGCTGCCACTGCTGCCTCCAGCGCCTGCTCCTGGGGACAGACAATACTGGGCATCCTCGCCCCGCTCCTCCCCCTCCTCCTTCTCCTTCCCCTCCTCCGCCTACTCTTCCTCTTCCTCTTCCTCTCCTTCTCATCCTCCTCTCCTCCTCCTCCTACTCCTCCTCCTCCTCCTCCTCTCCTTCTCCTCCCCTTCTCCTCCTTTCCTCCTCTCCTCCTCCTCCTCCTCCTCCTCCTCCTCCTCCTCCTCCCCGCCATTGATCTTAGCCCCCGGGCGTCCTTCGGGCCCTGGCCCAGCGGGTGGTGGCGGTGGAGGTGGAGGTCGAAGTGGGAGAACGTCTGGAAGGTCTTGGTGCAGCGTGCGAGTGTCCAAGTGATATATGATGCGAGTCACTTCTGGCAACAGCTTCCTGCTCAACTCCTTCTTCTTACTCGCCGCTAGCATTTCCTGAATCCGGGGATGACTGCTGAGACCCATCGCCTGCAGTCCTGATAAACCAGTCTTCACAGATGAACAATGATCGACCATCGCCTCCAATGATCGTGGATGTTGTTTCAGTTTAGCCCGAAGCGTAGGGAGCATTGAATGAAAGGCGACGTGGACTGGTCCTGCGTGGTGAGCACTTGTAAGCCAATGCCTGCTGGCCGCATGGAGAGCTTCCACCCACCGCTCGCTGGTTAATACAAATCGAAATCGCCCCATCATTCGATATAGCAACGGCAAAGTTTTTGGATCAGCACCAGAAATGAATGCCTTCATCTCGTCACAACCTCTGGAAGCAGGGTCGCAGAGAACAGTCTCGAGAAAGTGCGCCCGATATCCATGGTCACGACGTCGATGAGTCCACAATCTCAAGGATTTCCTGGCGCACTCACGGCCGACACCAACACTGCTGCTTGCAATGCCCATCAACACCCAAGGTAATTGCTGCCAACACCCGAACTTGAGAGTGCAGACAAGGTATACATACCGCCGAGTAGCATCGTAGTCCCTCAACACCTGCGCGCGATCCCCGCCGTCTAAACTCATCGCAGCCAGCTCGAATAATAAACCATTCAGCGAAACCCGCAAGAGCAAATTGATAAACTCAGTGAATTTGCCAGCTACCAGCTCAGGAGCCCTGCGACAAATCATCGGGCATGGCTTGCCCACAATGCGAGCCCAATAACTCGTCCTCTCTTGATTGGTGAAGCTGGTTTCGCCCGGGATGGTGTCGTGGCACGGGCAATTGTCGATCCATCCCGCCATGTAGAGGAATAGCGTTGCAACCACATCTACCATGATGGCGTATCCCCAGAACCGTTTCAATTTGACTGCTTGGTCCACCAGGTCCACGTTGGCTCCCTTCAGGGAGAGGGAAAGTGCACGCCATCGCCAGGTTTCCACAGGCCCATGTTGGGCAAGATCCTAGTGGAGATGGATTTCGGGCCATGCCAAGAGACCGCATCCACTAGGGTCTGGCCTCACACTGGGCCTATGGAAGCCCCGTGGCGTCGTGTATGTTCCCTCTCCCTAGCCTTCTTCTCGTCGGGCACATTCTCATCATCCCTTGCAACGCCTCGGCCTGCCACATAGCGCGCTCGATCCCAACCCGTGCGCAGGGCGCCCATGATGTGCGGATCTACGAGCTGGTGAGTCGCATTGCGCACTGTACCCCAGCGGCCCGTGTACACAGTGGCGTTAAAAGAAGCGATGTTCTGATAGAATACCGAAGCGGCGCCATTCGCGAAGCATGAATTCAGGAGCCTCGCTTTAGAAAAACGCATACTCAACATCTTGCACACATTCTTCAAATACAAGACATATTGATCCCACCAGCTCAGAACCTCAGGCAGCCCCTTCGTCAGATTGTGCAAGATGTGGTGCGGGCCAGGAATGTACACGCACTTCGACAGGTCCACGATGTACGCATCCTCCCCTGGGTAGTCGCACTCTTCGCGGTCAGGTCGATTTGCTGCGTCGTCCTGGATATCATCGCCCTCTCCGAAGTCGAAGCCTTGAACCTCTGCGTCGAAGTCAAAATCTGATTGACCACCAACAGCGCCATTGATAATGCGATTGTCCTCTGCAGTAATCCACTGACCGAAGTTGTCCCGAACGTCAGCGCGGTAGTGAAACGTAGATGCTTCTCCGAGATCTCCTGTCACACTTACAGTTGAATTCAACATCTGACACGCCGCCTTCCAAGTGGGCGACTGAAGCTTCACTGCGTGAATCAAAGCATGGCCTTTGTACTTCAAAGATTTTCTACCGCTTCCCACTCCTACAGGGCATCCCGACTCCATGCCCAGAAGGTCCCGTAGTTCGTCGAAGAGGTCTGCCTCGTTCTCCGGGCGCTCCGACGAGACCAACGACATCGAAATATCCAAGGCCCGTGGAAGATCACGTTGCCGCATTTGAGAGCCGCCGTGAAGAAGCCATTCAATTCCAGCTTGAGGTGAGAGATCCAGTGTCCTCCAAGTAACAAGCGCCACTCCGTCGCTCACGAGTTGGCCGTTCAGTGCCTGGCGATACGCGCAGTAGCCCAAGTGCAGAGTCATCCTATGTCGGTACAATGTAGTCCGTGTCGGAATAAAACGGTTATCCCGCAGGAGGCCAATGAGATAATCTCGAAGGTTAATGTCTGCGACTACCACGTAGAGGCAATGCTCGGTTACCTCCTATTTGGGATTTCCATGACACCATTCACTGCTGTTGCCATCCACCCTCTCCCACCTGAGTTGTTTTGCTCTGTGGATCTGCAGATATGCCTGGCAGATCCAAATCAAAACAAGTCAGGGGATGGAGAAGGTGTGCAGCAGTCGAGGCGGGTGTCATGGGAATCCTCAGTCCTTGAATGAGTTCACATCTCGCAGTAAGCCAGAACCGATGACTGCATGAACAAGCATTTCCATGCTGTAAGCTTGGCGTGTCAACCTCAATTGTTGCACCAACATGTGGTTCCTCATATTTTGAAGCCACGTGGCATGATGAATGGCTTCATCAGTGAAAGCATGATTGCGAGCCATCTGGCTAACGCACTTCAGGAGCACATCAGCGGCGCCTTGAAGCTCGTCGATGTCAAGGACACGGCCATCCTCACATGGCACCCCGGTGACTCCTCTCTGAAGCTCCACTTGTCCGAGGTTGCGCCACAACGGCCGAACTAGAGACATTCGAAGTCCACGCGATCTCCTGAAATCGGAACCCACGGGGAAACCCCATGCAGTCCATATTCTTCGAGAACAAAGAATCGCGTGGGGCATTGCCATCACAGCTCCTGTCTGCACGTTGGGTGAACCTTGATCGTCTTTAGGGCATATGACTCCATGCCTGCGCTCCCACTCGCCAATGACATCTCCAAGCGGCACGCCATGATTGACACCAGCACGCATACACCGTCGACACGTCGCATCAGATACCAGAGTGAACAACGATTTGACTGCATCTGTCCCGTCCGTGGTGTACATGTGTACTGGTTCTGACAACTCTACCGCGTCTTCCACACGAACCATAAGTATTGGATCATCTCTGTATTTTGTCTGGGCCCAGTAATCAAGCACTGCCCGCTCGGATGAAAGTAAAAACGTGGATATGTCTGGGACGCACTTTGTCTGGAATATTGCTAGGCCAACCACGTGCATGTGTCGTGAACGGAAATGCACAGCCAGCTCCCGGGCGCTGGAGAAAGGAAGCCCACATTCCCGAGAGATTTGCTCACACACTTTATTTGACCAAACGCATGCTAGCGGCACATGGTTCCTGCCATCGCTGAGTCTGTCATGTCTCCGCGCAACAATCCAAGCGTACATGTATGTATTTGGAAAATATCACAATATCACCGTTGAACCCAAATGGATACGGAACACGAACACTAACCGAAACCCGAGTGCGCGCATGTGGTAACCTTCATCCCCTCACACGAAACGTTGCCCACAAAGAGCCACAAGGAAGCCGACAAATGGCCTACTGGACCCTCAGGCGAGGTGAAAGGGCCCAAGGACCATCAAACGGAAAGGGCCCAAGAAAAGACCTTGGGCCTGCGGTGGGCCCATGAAATATGGAGGGGCACGAGGAGCAGGGGAGGAAGGGGAGGAGGCGGAGGAGGAGGAGGAGGATAGTGGGTAGGAAGAGGATGAGGAGGAGGAGGAGGAGGAGGAGGAGGAGGAGAAGGAGAAGGAGGAGGAAGAGGATTTGTTCAGATCCGAACGATAATCAACGCTCAGGTTGGGGGTTGGCCCCTGGGGCCTCCCCAGGGCCCCAACAAGATCGGGGCGGGATTCACCAACGACGACGACGGCGACGACGACGGCGACGACGACGACGACGACGACGCCTCGCCTGCACTTCGTCGCACACTCTCAGGACGGTCTCCAGGACGATCCGGCCGGCAGGCGTCAGCGGCGCCTCCCCTGACTTGCTTCCTCCGTCGCCGGACTGCGTGTTGTGGCATGTCCCTGCCAGCGATAATAAGTCACTGTGTGTTGTGACAGGAACGATAAATATGGAACGAGGCCCCTTTTTTCCATCAGTTAAACTTCGATTTCCCATCGACAACCAAAGGAAAACCTAAGGCACAGTGTAAAACAAGTAAGGAACACGGGGCCCCTCCCAGACGAAAAGGGTTCCTTCTTCAGCGCCCCGACTGTATTCTGCATTTAACCCCTGGTGGTTGTTCCACTTGCGGCATGTTGCTGAATTTCGGCCTCGGTGACCCGTTACGGGACCCAGGACCACACAGAAAAGCACGCGCTCAAGATGAACAGACAGACCCTATGAAGGGGCTGGGAATTCCGAAACCCCGTACCGAAAAGACGTCGGAGGCCTGGATTGGTTCGCTGATGCCCCTTCGGTGCTCCACTAGCTTCCAAAGGACATCAAGAGAGGCCCGATAAGGCTGAAAGGAGGCTTCTAAGAGGCCCTCAGAGAACCCCCGAGTTGGCCAAAGAGGGTTCACCTTCATTGTTTCACCGATGCCCCTGCCTCATCTGCTTCATCCTTTGTTTTGGCTTCTGCCTCCCCCTCTGCCTCTGCTTGTCCGATTGTCTCTGCTCGATTCCCCTCACCCTCTCCCTCTTCTGCTCCTGCCGTTTTTCCCGCTGCCCCTGCCCCCCTCCTCCCCCCCGACCTGCTCAGCTCGGAGCAGTCAACGACCTGCTCAGGTCGAGCGGGACACTTCGCTCTCCACCCCCGAACAACTGAACGACCTGCTCAGGTCGGAGCAGTTGAACGGCCTGCTCAGATCGAGCGGCACAAATGAACGATCTGCTCAGGTCGGCGTCTTTTTACAACCCGCCGTAGGGTAGGAACGAGCGCGGCACACGCGCGCGCGCGCTTGAGCACGCGCGGCGCTCAAGCCCTCGCTTGCACTCGCGGGCGGACGCCCCTGGCACGCTGCGAAGAACGTTGGCCAAGCTCTGCCTGGGGCGTGATAGGAGCTGCGCACGCAAGTGGGCACAGCCCGCACTTCTCCACGCTTCACGCGGCAAAGCCGAGCGCGTCGCTGCGACGGTGCCTCACTGGCAGCCGGCAATTGGCGCTGCCTATACCAATGTCTGCTCTAGTAGTTCAATTAGCCCTCGCACAAAGGGATCCAGGAAAAGTCTCCTCTTGGCGGATCGACCAACAGCCTGAGCCTGCGCCCGAATTCCTCTTGGCTCCTCCGCAGAGTGAACCCCTGGGAGCCCTGCAGGGTACGACCTGCTCAGGGCGAAGCCTTTTGTGAACGTCATCTTTTTCGGCGTTTCGACATTGGGCGGAAAGGGGGGGGAGGGGGGTCTGGCTCCGGATCCCTGCTCAGTCCGACTGTTGACAGCAGGGCGTCCTGTGGGGGAGACTCCACCTGCTCGAAACAGGCACCAAAAACAGCCAAGATCCACTCCACTGGAGTGGGGGAAGGGGGGGGTGCGAGGGCCCGCGCCGATCGGCAGAACAACGAATACAAAACTATCGCTTGCTGCAAGCTGTTTCACGCCCTGCACGGTGCCACCAGTGTGCTTTTTCGCCTGCGCTGCGCCCCAGGATTACCAGCCTGGAACATGTCCCTATCCCTATGCTGGGCACCTCCTCATCACGATGCCAATCTTAGGGGGGTCCCTATGTTTTGAGGGCGAATCCCTGAGATTGTCATCGCCCTTTGGCGTGTCAATCTTAGGGATAGGGATACGCTCGAGGCCGGTAGGAAACCCGTAGCTTGCTCTGGCCAGCGCACGCCTCGAGCGAGGACTCGGGGCGCGCGCGGCGAGGAGTGGGGCACGCTGGCAGAGGGCCACCTCGGGTGCCCCAGGCCCTGGGCGCCGCACTGCCCAGGAGCTCTCTCCGCGCTTCGCGCGCACGTGCTGGCAGGAAGTACTGATCGAAAGGAGCACGAGACGCGCTGCGAGCTCGAGCAACTTGCCGCGACAGTGCCTGACCGACAGCCCTGGTAGAAATGCGGCTGCGTACCTCAGCCGTCTTCTACCCCAGCAACATGTCGGCTCACACACACACACACACACTCATACACACACACACACACACAAAGACTATCTGGGAACTACATGTCCAACCAGCGAGTTCTGCGCGCGAATTTCGACGCAATGCAAATTACGTTCCAGGCCTTGCGTTCCGTCCCCAGCCCGTCGCGCCCGCCCTGCTCCAGGCCTGCATCACTCAATAACAGGAGCCCGCATTTGAAGACTGGGGACGGCATAATAACGACCACCATTTTTGTTGGAAGGATGGCACGTCCAATCATCGTGGGCGTGCCAGGAGGTCATACACATGAAACATGTCGAATAAAGTTCCCGGATAACTCGCGTGAAAACTACAGACGGGGGGCTCTAGCAGGGGGCTGTGCATCCTGGCGCGGCCGATCCGATTCGACTCCGACTCAATGCCGAGTACAGTCCGGTCCGCATTCGGGTCGGACGGAAGGGTCAGGGGCGGCCTAACGACCCCTGGCAACCCTAGCAAGCCATCCCCCTCCGTGGCGTCCCCCACGCCTCGCCCCAATGTGCGTATGTGTGCGGCCGGAGGGGAACTTGAAGGGCGGGGGTTACGTCACAGAAGGGGAAGGCCGCGCCCGAAAGGGGGGGGGATTGGGGAAGGGGGGTCGGGGTACGAACCCTGCGGGGCGCAGCCTGTTTCGGCCCCGCTGTCTGGGCGCTTTCCTCGATGGACGCGGGGGTGGCCATGAGGGGGGTGAGGAATACAGTCGAAACCGATGATAGGGATGGGTAACCTTTCCAAGGGTACCCTTGCATCCTTGCCTCTTCGGTCCATCCTTGACTACTGTCGACGGTCCCCCCCCACCCGCTGGCCCGTGCTCATGCCTCGAGAGGCTCTATTGGGACCATTCTTTCGCGGGAAAGTTGGAGAGCTCACACATGTTAAACGCATTCGGACCACCTGCCGTTGTTCGAGGATCTCGAGTTTCCTGGAAACCCTTTGGGCATCTCCTTGGCATCGTCGAAGCCTCCCGGGGCCTCTGGGCTGCCTCTGAGGTCTTCTTGAGAGTTGTTGGGAGGGGGCAGGAGGAGGGGGGGAGGGGGAGGGGGAGGGGAGGAGGAGGAGGAGGAGAGAGGAGGAGGAGGAGGAGAGGAGGAGGAGGAAGGAGGAGGAGAGAGGAGGAGGAGGAGGAGAGGAGGAGGAGGAGGAGGAGGAGGAGGAGGAGGAGGAGAGGAGGAGGGAGAGAAGAGAAGGGGAAGGAGGAGAGGAGGAGGAGGAGGAGGAGGAGGAGGAGGAGGAGGAGGAGGAGGAGGGAGGAGGGGAGAGGAGGAGGAGGAGGAGGAGGAGGAGGAGGAGGAGGAGGAGGAGGAGGAGGAGGGAGGAGGGGAGGAGGAGAAGGAAGGGTGGAGGAGGAGGAGGAGGAAGGAGGAGGAGGAGGAGGAAGGAGGAGGAGGAGGAGGAGGAAGAGGAGGAGGAGGAGGGACTCTGACCCCATCCCGGTCGGCCCCTCCTCCTTCGCGAGCGCGCTGGTCACGCTGCAGGCCTGCGCTCCCAGGCCGCACGACCGGAGGTCCTCTCCGCCGCGCGCGCGCGGCGTGCGGTGCGCGGGGCAGCGGCGCGGAGGGTCTGACCGGGAGTGAGCGAAGAACGTTCGCGGAGGACCGGCTGGGTTGGAGGGGAGGGGAGGGGAGGGGAGGGGAGGGGAGGGGGAGGGAGGAGGAAAAGGAGGAAGAAGAAGAAGAAGAAGCAGCAGAAGAAGAAAAAGATTATGAAGCAGAAGAAGAAGAAGAAGAAGAACAGAAGGAGGAGGAGGAGGAGGAGGAATAAGAAGAAGAAGAAGAGAAATAAAAAGAATAATAAGAAGAAGAAAAAGAAGAAGAGGAAGAAGAAGACGAGAAGGGGGAGGAGGAAGAGGAGGAAGAGGAGGAGGAGAACGAGGAGGAGGAGGAAGAGGACTGGCTCGGGAGCTGGAATCGACGACGCATCGCCGCCAGGTCGGCGATTGGCCCCCGATGGCGAGCCGCGCGTCGGCTGTGGGCTGTCGGGACCCCCTCGGCGAGGAGCGGGCGACTGACTGGGGATCGATGCATTCCCCCCCTGAGCCCTTCCCCCCCCGAACGCTGCCCCCGAAGGGGGCGTCGCCGCGTAGAGACAAAGCCCAAAGAAAAACACACACACACACACACACACACGCGCGGTGCACGACAACAACAACAACAACAACAACAACAACAACAACAACAACAACAATCATTTTACCCGAACGCGTGGTGTTCTCCCCAGTGCCAGGGTTTTCATACGACACCAGGCAATACCCCCACTTCGTGGGGGGGCATTACAAGCTCTACCAAATATCCAAACGACTCTTCGCGACCACCCAAACCCAGCTTCCCGCCCTATGACGTTGGGACACTTCACTTCGTGGCGTGCGGACGACCGTGGCTACTACGTGGGCACACCCACAGAACCGGTTTTTGGAGATTTCGGCGTGCGCGCGCGAAGAAAAAACGAATGTGTCCCGCATGGTATTATTTGACAGGGATGATGGCCCTGGCAGGTGCGCAACCGTTGTCGCAGAAGTTCGAAAAAGTTGCTCGCAAAAGCCCGTTTGACAGAAATGTTTAAAAAGTGTTGGTTTCCTACGAATCCGCAAGAGCGCGCGGGATGAGATTTTGACATTTTTTTGTTGAGAAACCATTGGTTTTTTGATGTTTTTATGTTAAAATCGCTCCGAACACTAAGCTTTTGGAAGGATTTCGTCTTGCGCGCGCGAATGTCCACTTTACCTTATTTTTTGCAAGGGATTCTTGAAATTTGATTATATTAGAACAAGAAATGTCATTTTATAGTGTTTTTTGCAAGGGAAAGCGGGGGGGAACAAAACAACCGGATCTTGATCACATCGAATTACCTGAGGCTTCCTCACGAAAATGATGAAAATGTAGCTGCGGCCTAGGCGGCGCAGGGGGGGCGTGCACCAGGGGGCCCAACAATAATTATTCTTTAGAATTAATAATGTTCAACAACAATTACTAGCACGTGGGGACACTCCGTTCTCACCAGTGCCAGGGTTTTCATAGGAGGCGGGCAATACCCCCACTTTGTGGGGGGGCCGGTTCAAGCTCTACCAAATTTCCAAACGACTCTTCGCCACCACCCACACCCAGCTTCCCGCCCTATGACGTTCGGACACTTCACTTCGTGGCATGCGGACGACCGTGGCTACTATTCAGGGCCCCGCGGCCGACGACGACGGCGTGCGCGCGCGAAGAAAAAACGAATGTGTCCCGCATGGTATTATTTGACAGGGATGATGGCCCTGGCAGGTGCGCAACCGTTGTTGCAGAAGTTCGAATAAGTTGCTCGCAAAAGCCCGTTTGACTGAAATGTTTAAAAAGTGTTGGGTTTCCTACGAATCCGCAAGAGCGCGCGGGATGAAATTTTGACATTTTTTTTGAAAAACCATTGGTTTTTTGATGTTTTTATGTTAAAATCGCTACGAAAACTAAGGTTTTGGAAGGATTTCGTCTTGCGCGCGCGAATGTCCACTTTACCTTATTTTTTGCAAGGGATTCTTGAAGTTTGGTTATGTTAGAACAAGAAATGTCCACTTTAGCTTATTTTTTGCAAGGGAAAACCGATCGTAACAACACAACCGGATCCGGACCAACCCGTTTTGCCTGAGACTTCCTCACGAAAATGATGAAAATGAGGCTGCGGCCTAGGCGCGGCGGGGGGGTCGTGCACCAGGGGCCCCAACAATAATTATTCTTTAGAAGTAATAATGTTCAACAACAACAACAACAACAACAACAACAACAGCAGCAGCAGCAGCAACAACAACAACAACAACAACAACAATAACCACAACAACAACAACAACACACAAAACAACAACAACAAAAAAAACAAAAAACCCAAAAAAAAAAAAAAAAAAAAAAAAAAACGGCAGCATCCGCTGCGAGGGCCTCGGCCTCTTAAGGCCCCCACCTGCAGGGCCCCCCCTGGGGCCCCCTGGGGCCGTCGCGCAACGGCGCGGGAAAAGAGAGGCTGGCCCCCAGGACGAGCTCCGGCCCCTCTGGGGAGCCACGTGGTGAAAGAAACCACGGCGCCGGACGCCTCGCCATCGCTCGGACGCCCATTCCCCGTGCATGTTTCGAACTCGCGCGCTGACTCTTCGCAAGAGGTCGGCGGCGAGCGAGGGGGGGGAGGGAGAAGGAGAAGGCCCCCTCAGAAGGCGGCGGGACTTCTCAGAAGCCCTCGCGCCGTCTGAAAAGTATCTCGTGTCCTCGGGGAAGGCTCAGAAGACTCCTCAGGAGGCCAGGGGACTTCCGAGCCTTCTGAGAAGGCTCTTTTCTTCTCACTTGCCACCCGTGGCTCGCCGCCGAAGAAGGCCCAGGACGCTCCTCGATGGTCCTCGCCGAAGCGAGCGATGCCAAGCGACGAGCGATGGCAAGCGACGCCCGAGCGAGCCAAGGCACACGCCCGAGCGAGCGAGGCATACGCCCAAGCAATTCCGAGCAGGGCACACGCCCGAGCGATGCCAAGCGGCGCGTGGGAAGCGCGGGGCCCTCTAGGCGCGGCTCTCCGGAACCCGACAGCGTGGACATCTCTGCGCCGTCGATTCGATTCGATTCGCGGGGCCATGAAGGCGACTTCGGGCGAGCAGCCTACTCGCCCGAGCTCACGCCGCCAGGGCGCGGGCCGCGGCCGCGCCGCGGGCGGACGCAGCGGCCCTACGCGGCGGCGTCGGCGGGCAGCACCTGCTCGGCGAGGTCCAGCACGTACAGGCCGTGCGCGGCCAGCATGGCGGCCCGCGGGGCGATGCCCGCCGCCCCTTGCTGCCCTGCCGCCGTCGGCCTCGTTGCTGGCCAAAGCTCGCAGCCGCCTGCACCTCAAGACGCCGCTGCTGCTGAGCTGCCACCTGCTGCAGGGGCGCCTCCATTCCCTCGAGGCCCAGCCACGCCTGGAAGGCCTCCTGGGCCGCTGGGGGTAGCGGCCCCTGCAGCCTCAGCTCGGGGATTCCAGCACCTTTCTCCCTGCGCTGCTGAACACCTCCGCGTGGTTGGCCACCTGGGTGTAGCCCTCGAGCCCGAGGGCGGCGCTGGCTGCGCTGCCCCGTGGCCCTCTCGCCGACGCACTCACTGCTCCTTGAGCTTTGGGCGGCCTCCAGATTGGCCGCCGAGGACCATGTAGGCGCCGCACTTGCCGCACGTCACCAGCTCCTGGGACTCCCCGCCTACGCCGCAGCACGCGTGTGTCAGGGAGTGGCAGCGGCAGCGGATGCCAGCCGTGGTGATGGAGAGGCCGCCCGCGCAGGCCACCGAGCGGACGCACTCCACTCGCGGCTGCTGCGCCGTCGGCCTGCATGGAGTGGGCAGCTCGGCCCGCTCATCCTGGTTGGCGAACCGCACCTGCCGCCTCTCGTCGGACTCGAGGAAGCTGTCACTGTCCTTCTCCGCGAAATGCTGCCTGTAGACCGCCGCCTGGCCCACCCAGCGGGCCTGCTCCTGGGCGAGACCCGCCAAGGCGCGGCGTTCGCCCACGGTCTGGGCGTCCTCGGCGCGCAGCCGTGCTTCCAGCTTGGCGGAGCGGCAGGCATGCAGGGTGCTGCGCCTCTGCGCCTCCGTGAGTCGCCCGTCGAGCACCGCCTGCCTGCTGCCGTGGGCGGCCACCGCGTTCGCCCCGGAGCCGCCAGGCTCGAGGGCGGCGAGGCTCCTGCTCCAGAGGTGGGCGTTGGCCTTGGTCGGGCCCGTCGCATAGGCCAGCCCCCTATGCGGGCCCTCCGCCGTGCCGTGGCAGCCGATGAGGACCTCCTCGACTGCAGGGCCCGCGTAGTTCACCATCTTCCAGACCGCGAAGTCCTCACCGCCACGAGCCGCCTGCTGTGGATGGAGGACCCTCATGACGGTCCCGTAGACGCCCGCGACGAGGCTGCCGTCGTCGTCGCATTGAGCAATAGCCCAGCCCGCGTGTTCCAAGGCGCAGAACTGCGGGTCGACCGACGAGCCGTCCACGTACAACTTGCCATTGGGCTTGACGTCGGGCGGCCTGCATGTCCACCAGACACTCATGGCGTCCGTGCGAGGCCCTTGTGGGGGCGGCGGCGCTGACAACCAGCACCGAGCAACGTCCTCCCCTGCTGCCACTCCGAGGGCGCGAACCCGCGCGGCGCTCCACATCAGCGATGGCGAGACCGAGTCCCTCCGCTGGGCCGCAAGCATGGGGCACTCGAACATCCTGTGCCAGCGGCACCTGCAGCGGGCGCGGCCGCTTCCGCTGGCGCCGTGGAGCCTCGCCTGCGGCCAGTGCGCGTTCGCGAGGTGGGAGACCAGCCCGTTCCTCTCGCGCTCGCTGAGCTTGCCTCCTGGCCCGATGAGCTCCCTGCAGGCATCCCAAAAGAAAGAACCATACAAAGAAGAGGCACTGGCCAGCTTTCGCATCTCACGCCGATCCGAGGCGCGCCTCGCCCCAAGGCTGGCCTCTAGGCCGAGCTCACGCAGCCCCATCAGCGCCATGTCCAGCACGTCCCCGACGTCCGTGATGAGGCACCGCTCGGACCTGAAGTACCAG